TATTTTCATGTTATGCAATGTCATTGAGTCCACCCAGCTCGAACACCACATTATCTATTGATAAAGATTGGACCCCCATAGCATAAGAATTATCAATAACTTCCTTGGCACCAACGGTTCTCTACGTTCCGCCTGGAGTTTCGTTACCGTCTAAATATCAGGGGTTGGGAATCTCATAGTTTTCTATCATTCATACTTGCAAGTATTCATGTAATAACCTAAATATAATATCACCTTATGACATTTCATAAATCATAATTTTGTAACAAGCATTCATCACAAACATTTCATATATCATGTGCATGAGCATGAATCATAATAAATAAATATTTGCAAGCAATGATTTCATAAGCATGTTCATTAGGTTAGTGAAATAGTAATTACATGTGTATCGTAAGTGACAATAAATATGCATTCATATAGTTTAGGTAGATATTCATCCATAATATGCAGGAAATTTTACGTGCAATAGTGTTAAACATATAATCACATGGAAACCTACGAAAAGTTATTTTTCTTAAGTTAGGACAGGATTATTTCATCTTAATTGTTGGAGCAGCTCTACGATGAGTTTTTTCAAGCTTATCTCGAGCTCACTGCCTAGTGTAGACAATCTGAAATTCATAATTCGATGAAATCTTGGCTTATCTCATGATTTAACCCCAAACACAACTTATTTGTTAACTCTTACCTCAGATGGCTTCCCTGCATATCCAACAGTTCTTCGAGATTGCTTATTCTTCTTCCTTCTTCCTCATATCAACTTAATCCTCCCTTTATTTTCGTTGATTTTCTGTTAATGACTCTTACGAATGCCCACAAATCAATTTCGTACTCTCCGACGCAAGTTCGTCTCTGCTACAGTTACCGAAAATGAAAAAGTGTACCAATTTTTGACATACTTCAACATTAAAAATTAAGGATAGGAATATCTAGAATATTATGGAAATGAAGTTTCTTCTCACCGAAAGCTCTCCAGAACTTGTCTTGAGTTGCGGCTTCTAGACCGTTGTTTGCCCTTTTCTATTCGTGCCCCGTTACTATGAACAGGGCGAGGCTTCTCTTGATGAGGAGAAATCTCACCCTTCTCTCGATAAGGAGAAATCGAGAGAGAAGAAGTAAATGCGACATTTAACTCACCCCCACTAACTCTAACCTGTTGGATCTAATCAAGTCGTAGCACGCGTGGTTAAGTGCGGGGAGGTCAGTTGGCTATAATAATCATGTAAGATTAGGGAGAATAATGAAGGTTTAATTAATTTAATTAAACTTATAACTTCGTCATTTTATGTTTTCTCATCCATTTAAAATTCATGCATTGCGTTATATATCAAATTGATCGATTCGGCGTGTAGAATTTTATAAAATTACTTTGATTGAGTTTCTGGGGATGCAAAATCTGGAGTACGTTTTAGAAGTGTCAAAATTTTACATGATTCTCAAAACTGGGTATTACAGCTTTCTTGACACGGGGGCTAGTGGGCTAAACTTATTCGACCCTATTCAACGGGAACCTTTAAGGTGTAGGGGTCGAACCGACCCCCACCTCTCTCTTCGTTAGGTGGGAGTGATTTCCTCTTCTATTTTTTTGCCTATATATCTATTATAAATATATGTGTTTTTGGTATTGGGGTTTAGTTTTTTGTGATTTCTGTTTGAACAACCGTCAGCTTCTCCTCTTTCCTCTTAGGGCTGTATTCGACTGCTAGAATGTGCTACAACTATAACTTAGCAGAGGTGGTGACCGTCTCCAAAGGTTTCGGTTTAGTTTTTTGTGATTTCTGTTTGAACAACCGCAGCTTCTCCTCTTTCCTCTTAGGACTTTATTCGACTGCTAGAATGTGCTACAGCTGTAACTTAGCAGAGGTGGTGACCGTCTCCAAAGGTTTTGAGAGATGCTCTGGTTGTAACTCCATCTTGCAGAGGCACTTATCATCAACCCTCTCCTCGACATCCCCACCTTCCAATTTCCCGCTGCCAGCCACCCTAAACCTCCACTTCCAGCCGCATGTCTTCCGACCCTCCCGCACTACTGCCCAATCTTCCTTCGATGCGATGACCCTTCTACCACCCCTTCTTCTTGTGCTTGCTAATTCACCCACACCCCATCTTCTTACCTGCTGCAATCCAGTCGTAATTACAATACCCTTTATTGTCGTAACTCCACTTCTAACCCTCTGACCTACTATTTTATCCCAGTATTCCCCCGTCATCCAAAAGCATACTACACTTCCCAGCCTCATCTCTCACATCACCTACTCCCCACCTGCAGTTTAGCTTTCCTGTGGTCTGCATCCCCACTGGATTGGCCATCAGATAGCCACCCCCCACCCCCAACTGTTGGCCCCAAACAGTCTGGCCGCCAATCTCTCCCCTTATCCTCTCCGCACTCCCCTGCTGTCCACAACTCTTCGTCGTTGGATCTTGTATTATGTTGTATTTTCTTTCGTGTCTTGAGTCTTTGATTGTAATCTTGTTGTTGTGAGCAATAAAAATTCTATTGTCCTTTCAAGTTTTGTGTTAACTCCGGCATTATCTCCCCTC